GGTGCAATTGCGGCATACGTCTGCAACCGTTTATTAAAATAGATATCGGTCACCATAAGGAGCTTCTCCGGGGTCGTCCAGGTGAAAAATCCAGAAAAAATCCGCGGGACCTTTAAAACGCGACGAAATTCCTCGGGCGTCGCGGTGCACCGCCTCGACGGCGAAATTCCATCGCGAAACCGCGCCGGTTTATCCGCGCACCCTTTAAAAATAGGCGTTCATTCAAGGATCCCACCCAGACGGTGGCTAGACGTTCGACAGCGTTAATACGTGTCACGGATACACACACACACACGCGCCGCGTACACAGGTACCGCCGCGGCGGGCGTCGCGACGCGGGTGCGATCCAACGGGCCGGCGTTTGCCAATCCCCGATTTCTTCGCGGCAGGAATATGCACGTGTCATTAGGGCGGTTTATTTTTGTTTAGTCTGTCCGAGAGAGAGAGAGAGAGAAAGAGAGAACTGCATTCGGGCCGCAGCCTCCGTGACGCAAACCGTCTCGTCTCGTCTCGACGAGGCGTCGCGACGTCTCGTCGACGTCGGCGCGACCTCGGCTGTCGAACGCGGCTAACACCTCCCGGCGGGATTCCGCGAGCGGAATATCTTCCGCGACCACGTGGCCAAAGAGAACCGGAAGAAGGAAGGGTTAGGATCCTCGTGACACTTTTCCCCGAATCGGTTTAAAACCTTACAAAGTAAATTTAAAGGCTATAATGAAGATCTTGACCCTCGTGAAATTTAATTTTTTTTAATTATAACGGATTTAAAAAAAAAACCTAAAGAAGAAATATTTAACAAATTGAAATCTCATGAGTTTTGGTAATAATTCCAAAATTTAACTCCAAAATTTTGGTAAAAATTTTGGAGTAAGGTAATAGAATTTTCTGGGCCAAGTTTCTGCCGATTTAAGGGCGTTTTAAGATCCGAAGGTGGGCCTCGGATTTGGGAGAGAAACGGTGGGAACGTCTAGTCGGAAAGGATGGCGTAGACGAGGCTGGTCGATGCCCCAGTACCGTGCACTTGGCACCATTTTCTGGCCTACCCTCTCGTCCCATCTCCGTCGCTCGTCATCCTCGGATGAGGTTCCTCCCTGTCTCTCTCTCTTTCTCCATCCCGCCCCGCCCGACGAAAGAAGTACGGAGAAGCGAGGGATTTTCCAACCCCTCTTTCCTCCTCCCCGTCCCTCGGCCACCCTAGGGCAACGTCCTCTCTCGCTTCCTATCTCCTCGTCGACGCGAATGGGGCGGAAAGAAGGGATTTCCCTCCCCTCTGATTTTCCCACCTCCCCTCCCCCGCCTTTCTGCGACGAATGAGCCGTGGGGAAGGGCTGCAAACGGTCCAGAAGGGAGAGAAACCCCGAACGGTGGAAGACGGTACCTTTACCCCCCGTAAGAAGGCACCTACATTACCCGCGTTACGTGCAACGCTTGCATCTATTACTTCGAGGTTAATCGACAGGTGTCGCGAGCGACGCACAAAGAAACCGAGACGGTAAGAGAGGTTAGAAACGATCGAGAAGCAAATAAAAGGGATAGAGGTAAACAAGAAAAAAAAAATAAACAGTCAAGAACGTGCGCGATCACCGCCCGGTTATTTTCATACCTCTTCCCCATAATCTCGAGTTACTCGATTTTCCCTCAAATCGGGAATAACGAGATTTAAAGAGTCGGGGGAAAAAGGCAATGCTATTGATGAGAATCGACGGGGGTGGAGGAATCGGGACGTGCACGACTGCGCGGATTTCCCTCTCTCTCTCCGGGGTAAAAAGTAGGAATAAACAAGTCCATTAGGAGCAGGAATTCGGACGCGCCGATTTGCCATGCAAAGGAGAGGGCCATTGAAATGTAAATGAACGAGGTCCGCGTGGGAGGCGATTTTTATCCGAGCGGGGCAGAGGGAGGGGACGGGTCATCGGCCGACTTTCTAATTTGTGTCGAACGTCCCCGCTAATTAATGCCCAGACGATCGTTAGACGTAATCAGGGAATCCCTAGGAGGGAAACGGTAATCAGACTAAACGTCCGTCCCGTTTCTCGGGGCGGCTGTAAATCCGATGCCCGGCGCGCGCGCCGGCTCGCTTTTATCGACTGAACCGACGGCGCCGCTTGCGGCGCTCCGGCGCGACGCGACGCCACGCGGCGCGAGGGACCCATCCAAGAGGTCTGAAGTCTCTGCCAGGGACCTTAATTAAGATCCTCCCGTTTGTTACGGCCGTAAACGAGGCAATGGCGGGGATTAATGAAAAATTTGAAAATCTCGTAGAACATCCGCGGAAATGACTTCCCGGGTGTCCTTAATTAAGATCCCTCTCGCCCAGAGGCGTCGGTAAGTTCCGGTTAATCGATGCTCCAGGGGGTCGTATTAACGGCACCCGTGGTGGATATTCAAGGTGAAGTTAAACCGCGTCGACGGAACTCGCTCGACGTCGGTAAAGAAGATCTTTTCCTAAACCGCCTACGTAGCCGAGGTTGGTTTTAATATCGATAGCCGAGAGGCCGAGACACCTCTCGTTAGACTCGACTTATCGAGTTCCTCGCGAGGGTCAAGGGCCGACCCTCGAGGGGGGTTCCACGGGGGAGGTATCGCCCCACGTTCCTCGGGCTTAATCGAGGGTGGGAAAACTGCGGGAAAACCTCCGCCTAGGAAAAAAAGGGTCGAGAGCTCTAGGGCGCGAGCCCAGCGGATATCTAGGTCTCTGTAACGATTTTTACCGTCCCGACCCCTCCCGGCAATCATCCGGGCCATAAAAAACTCGAGGCACCCTACACTCACCCCCGTTGGGAGGGTTGCCAGGGCAACGGAGCCCTTTCGCGTCCGTCTTGCCCCCTCGTTGACCTATACATTCGCACCCTTAGCCGACTGTGGCCGGAATCTACCGGGTGAATCAGCTCCCAGGGACCGACCTCGGACCCGGGGATGACGCCGAGGGTGCCCTGGACCCCCCCGATAATCCCGGTTAGCGACTTTCCCTCCAAACGGGGAATTAATCGCCACGTATAACCACGAGGGTCGGTAAATCCGGGAACGGTCCTCCTCTGTGGAATTACGATTAAGGTCGCCGCCCCCTCCCGGTATTTCCGGTATTTACGTCGACGTTAACGAGACTCGGGTAATTGGCATTAACAAACCGCGGGGGGTCTACGAGGCGACTGGAATTTTTTTTTTTTCCACCCGTCTCTAACCCTTTTCCTACGTCCTCGTCGTGGACCGAGCTTAAGGACGAGAGGGACCTCCCCGGCGGGCGGAGGGCGAATGGCGCGTGGAATCGTAAATCGAGAAAGGTAAGTATGACGGAGAGCCGACTTGCGTGGAGGAGGAAATAAAAAGAAAAAAAAAAAAGAAGGAAAATATCTTCCCCGGCGATGAATAATAAATGCCACCGCGGAGGAACAATACGGAGGTGCGCGTACGCCTCGCGTATCGCGTAAACCCGGCCGGGGTGGGAGAGGGAGGGAAAGGGATAGCAAGAGAGGCAGGGAACGAGAGGGCAAGAGGTAGGGACGAGGACAGAGCAAGCAAGGAACGAGCGAAAGGACGTTAACCCTTTTCTCGTGCCTCGCTCCTCCTTCCTCTGGCGCCCTCCTTGCTTTCTTTATCTCCCTCTCTCCGGCCCTCCTGGTCCCTCGGTCCTTTCCGAGGGAGAGCTCCTCTCCACCGGAAGGTTCTCCCCTTCGCCGAGGGGAGGGTGGAAATCTCGAATTCTAGGTGCATTCGTCGAAGTCGCGCCCTTTACGAGGAAGGGTACGCATAAAAGAGGGAATACACCGGGAACCGCGGATATCGTGAAACCGAAGCGAGTCGTTCCATTTTCTGCATTCCCATTTCTTTGTTGTAAAAAAGGGAAAAAAAAAAGAAAGAAAAAGAATGCACCGCAATCTCGGGAATTCTTCGCGGACCTGGGTATATCGTTATCGGCCCTCGTTAAAAGCTGATAAAAAGTAATCTCTTCCGATGTCGGGACCGTTTCTTAATTTAGGAAATCCCAATTAAAGGGATCCTCCCCTGTGGTCTAATTTAACGTTAAATTCTCCCGAGTCTCGTGAATAAATATACGTGTACGCGGATTCCACGGGAAGGGGTAGAAATCCCACCCTGGGAAAAAATGGCGACCCGGTAGCTCGTCGGCTCCGGAGGGCACCCGCCCGAAAATGAGTTCGGGGTCCCGCCGAAAGTCGGCCATTTCGGTCGTCCCTCCGCGCAGACATTCCGGGACCGACCCAGTGGCGGCACGCGGGGTCGTTCGGGGTTGCCGGAAAAGGAGGTCAACGTCGGCTCGAAGCATCGGCATGGCTCGGGGCGACCTTTGCGGTGACTCGAGGAAGGCGCGTCTGCGCGTCGCCCCCCGTGGACCCCGCAGGCCTCGGGAGGCGTCCCGGAGCCGACTCGCGACCGGCCGAACGCCTTCGGGGAACTTCGGCCGTCTCCGGCGGAGGCTCGCGCGCGTAGCGTCCTCCCGCTCGGCGGGGCTCGGCGGAGCTCGGCCGCGCTCGGCCGGGCTCGACCCGCGGCCAGAAGACACGAAAAAATAGCCGGCTGATTCATGCGCGCGGCGTCACGAGCCGCGCGCCCCGTCGCGGGCCTGCAAGTGTAAATCGAAAACACGAGGCGCACATTTCGCAGGAAGGTTCGCTCTCCTCCCGCCCCGGGAATATCTCCGGGCATGCGCAGGAGGGCCTGAACCGACCCTTCCCGGAGCCGGTATAACCTTAAAAACAAACAGCCCGCCGAGCGTCCACAAGGAAATTATGCTACAACCGCTTACACCCCCCGCGTCTACGGGGCAATTGCCCCAACTGGGTAAGGTTTCGATTCCTCGCGGAAACGGTGCCCCGGTCTCCCGATATCTCCGGTCGCAAAGCAAAGCTTCGATCCGAGGGGATGGGTTCCTTCCCGCGCGCGATAATGCAACGGAGCCTTGCCTACCCGGCCAAGTGGAAGTCGGAATTTTCGGGTAGCCGAGACGGACTAGGTTAAAAAGAGAGAAGGAGGAGAGTACTCACGTGCTTCCATAGGGGCGTCCCTCGCGGGAGGCGGCAACCTCTCGGTGGTGGTCGCGGCGGTGGTCGGCGCGTCCTCGTCCTCGGCCGGTCCCTCCGGGTCGTCGACGGGGTTGGTCCTCGCGCGTCCGGCCTCCGGCTCCAGGGGATGCGACCGCGATGACATCGGCCCGGCGATGGTGGTCCCCTCGACGCCACCCGACGACACGGTCTCACCACTCCCGGAGTTAACTTCGAGGGGGGCGGGCCCGGCGCGGGCGCCGCCGAGGCGCGCCGTCGGGCCGGTCGCACGGCCGCCGGGCCCGGCCCGGGCACCCGGGGGGTCAGACCGCGGCCATGGCGCCGGGCCCCGGTCGCCGTCGGGCTCGGGCGGGGGCGTCCTCCAGGCTCGGCCCCGGGCCGGCTGCTCGCGCGTCCTCGAGGTCGGGGCCTCCCGGGCCAAGATGGCCGCCGTCGCCGGGGTCGCGCAGGATACGCCGAGGAGGGTGACGACGAAGAGAAGCAGGGGCAGCCCCACCCCCGCCCCCGTGGTGGCCCCCACAACCCCCGGCCTTCCCACTACAACCCGCGGAGCCGTCCAGTCCAGCCGCTCGGGGGTCCGCCGCTTCGACCCCTTCACCCCCTGTCGGCCAGCGGAGCCGCCGCGGTGCCGGCGTCCCCCGCTCGGCGGTCGTCGCGTCGGCCAAGGCGGGGCGGCCTACATCTAGGCGCCGCTCCCTCGCGCTCCCGGGTCCCGGTCACTCCGGCCGCATCCGGCCGCCACGGGGAAACTCTCCGCTCCCGATCGCTCTCCCCCAGGGATCCCCAGAAGGCTCCGGACGGCGGGCCGCGCCGCTCACCGCCATCGCCAGGGGCTCCCGGTCGCGGTGCCGAGGCCGTCCCGGGGACGACCACCCGCGCCCGGCTCGTCCCGAGGCATCCTCCGCCCCGTCGCCGGCAGGGTCACTCCTGGGCGCCGCCTCTTACCGCGACACCTGCAATCACGAATCCAGGAGTTAGCCTCGCTCCGTCCACCGGGGCACGCCGACGTCGAAGGGGTTAGGCCCTCGCATACCCCGCCCGATGCATCGACGGCGGGGAGCTCGGCCGCGCCCGGCGTAGCCTTAATCTGGCCGGCAGACTCATGCTTCCTACAACTTCTTAAAATACGATCCCCCTACTAAATAGTCCCCGAGTAAGCTCGCCTTGTTCCTCCTGCCCGTTGCCCCCGAGACCCTGGCCCTCGCAGCCGGTCCTCTCTAGCGTTACGTTTTGTGGCGGCGTACAATCTAGCGTGCCCTTTCTCCGAGCGAAGAAAGACCCGCGCCCCCCCCGCGAAGGTTTCTCGACTCCCGGCATTTAAATGGAACAGAAATTTTCAATCGAGAGGAACAAAAAAAAAAGAGAAACAAGGGACATCGCAAAACCGCGCGATACAGAAACGCGGACATTTTTTTATCTCCTTAAATATGTAATTAATAACGTAATTGCGGTCAACGTTTTAGATGGATTTATTTCTTCGAGGAGAAATTCTTGATAAAGTTAATACGATAACGCGGCAACGATTCGTATTTACCGCGGCTCCACGGCGGAAGCGGACATTCCCGTCGACAAGAGGCGCTTTAAAACTGGGACGGACGTGACGTGCTCGTAAAGCGACGCTCTCATTGGCTGGAATATCCGCTTCCGGCGCATTTAGGGTGCATCTCCGGGTACGGCGTGGGACTGCGCACCGTTTCCTCGTGGACGTTCGTTCGGCCCCGATAACGAAACGGAGGGGAAAAAAAGAAAGAATGAAAGAGGAAAATTGAAAAAAAAAATACGAGTCCACCGCCCTCCTCCCGGAATAACGCTTTCAAAATTAACCGAGAGAGAAGGAACGGTCAACTCGAAATTCCCGTTCCCGCAGGAGGAAACGCGTCCCGGGTCCTGAAAATAACGCCGCATACCTTCGAAGAATGTAAACCTAGGGAGGTTCATCGTCCCATTTTTGGGCCGCGACCAAAAATATATAATAAAACAATCAGCCGGTCTAACGTAATTCTAGCCGACCGACCCGTCCAAGATATATAGGAAAACCGGTAAACGTCAAGGCTAATCATACCTCCCTTTCATCTTTTAGCGCCACCCCTTCCTTTACCCGATTAACTATTTAAAATCGGAGGACAAAATAGAAAACGAGCCCACGCAAATCAGTCGCGATATACAGCGAAGCTAAACCGACCTAACATAAATTACGAACGCGTCGTGGAGTGTTATGGAAACGTGGAATTTTTTTTATTTATATAAAACTCCCCCGGGTGGACCCGGGACTCTAAGGAAGGTGCCGAGACCCGTGGGAAAATTTCGCTCATTAAAAGGAAAAATCTTGAAAATAATTGAAATTCTCCGGGGGGGCGGGACCTCTCTTACGGTCTCCACGTGCCTGCGGTAAGATGTAAACGTTGCCCCTGGCAACGAGGGACGCCGCTTTGGTGTCGCCTCAAAGGGTCCTTCGTCCTCAAAAGATTAATTGAAATTAAATTTAAAAAAAGGGACAAACATATGAATAAAGATTCCCCTCTTGAATCGCGGCATTAAGGTGACGTGGAGGCTGTTTTACCGACCGGTCGCGATGGCATCGGTCGGACCGAGATAAGCGCAATCGGCGCGAGGCTGTCGACGACTCGGGGGAAACCGGGGGGCGTTATCACGCGCGTTAGGCTCGATACGCGAAGGCGGGCCTTTTGAAATTTGTTTACTACGGCGGACACGAGGTCTCGCTAAATATAGTCCGCCGCCGAGAGGAACCGTGAAAATCCTATTTTTACGAGCGCGTTAGCGCGCGCCGAGGAGAGAGCGAGACCGCGGCCGACCTGGCGGACATCGTCGCGTCCCGCGCGCGAGAAAACCGCTCCTCCTCCTCCGGGATTTAACCCCCTGGAAAGAATTCCTAAGTCCCATAACAGCCCAGATCCTATGTTAGCGCTCGATGCTCTAAAAGTTGGCTGACAAACCAACAAAACCATACCAATGCCAAATTCCAAGCAATATAAATACCAGTTAATGCAATTAAATCATTAAAGCCAGCAATTAAATCATTAAAGAATGTAGGTTCAGATATAGGAAGACTTAACCTTGCGTTTCGAAGTTTCCCGGAAAATCAAAACGTTGCTGTTAACGTTTCGCCCCGTGGTCGAGGTAACTCGCGACCGAGGAAATCGCGTGAAGAAAAGGACGCCTAAATGGGGCGGTAAGGGGAGAGAGAGAGACGGATGCTCGCGTCGACCCTCGCCCGCCACATAGAAGAGAGGAGAGCCTCGCCTCTCTCTCTCGTATCCCGGTAATGCGAAACCCATGTTGGCACGCTCTCCTCCAGTTCCTTCCTCTATTTACTTAATCGTTTATCGAGATCGCGAGCTGCGACGTCCACGGACGGCGTTCGTCGCGCTGGTCTTCCACCCTCTCCTCCTAACCTCAAAATTTTCCCCCGTCAACAGCCCCCCGAAATCGATAAATCCTGAAACTCCCACCCCCGGACACCCCATCGCGCTTCAATAAACAATTAAAATCCGAAGTAACAACAATCCCAGCATAGCAAACCTCAAGACACGGCACAACATAGAATAATACATCGACAACCCAAAAGTGTCAGTTATCCCGGGATTAACCGGGCTTTAAACTAAGATTAAACAATCAGCCGCGCACACCGCCGTCGAGATAAGTCACCTCGGGATAATCGATCGCTGATCGTCGGTCCAAGGATCTCGGGGAGATAATTACCGGGATAAATCCGCGTCCCCCCGTCGGCACTTAGTTCACCGACGCCCGGCGTCGGTTAAGGGTTAACCGAGCGTCGGGTCGAGAGAAGGGACGCAGCGAGGGGACGGCCGAGGTCGTTCCTCTTTCCGCGAACGGACGATCGAACCTCGAGCCTTCTCCCCTGGACGAGGGGAAGACTTTCCTCCGTCCGTATACCGAATGCGGGGAGTATCCTCGCGACCGAAGGAGTAGACATCCTTGTCCACGTTCAGGGCGGGGCCGGGAGGGGGAGGGGGAGGGCGAGTACCTACGTGGAAGGGTCCCTCTTCGGACGGCGACATGACCGCTCGGCCGGGAGGCGCGCCACGTTGCCGATAACCGCGTGACCGCGCGACGACTGACTAGACGCCGCCCGGCGGCGCTCGCGGGCGCGCACGCGCGCGACCCGGGAAACGCTCGGGCCGAAGTGAGGTTAAGAAGCGCGCGCGCACACGGCCGGCCCGCGGAGAGCGAGAATTCGCCGTTTTCACGGGGAAAAATGTGCGCGGCACGCGCGCTGACGTTCTATTTTCGAATGAAACACGCGATCGGGGGACGCGCGAGCGAGAGAGAGGGAGATACGGGGAGAGAGGGCGCCCGCGTCGCGGGAAGAGAGTGAGAGAGAGAGAGAGAGAGCAAGCGAGGCGGCGGTCGGGGAGGGGGAAGGGGCGCGCGGCGGGAGGCGAGCGAGGAGAGCGAGAGGGAGGGAGGCGCGAGGAGGCGACGAGAGAGAGAGAGAGACGGAGAGAGGCCGGGTCCGCGACGCGGGCGAGGCGGCCATGGTTCCCGGTGCCTCGCGACGCCCGCGTCGCGGCGTGCCTTTAAGGGAGACTCACTTTTCGGGCTCGCGTCGCCCCGCGCCGTCCGTCGGCTCCGCACGGGCCCTGGCGTCGTCGCAGTCGTCTTCGTGGTCGCCGTTGTCGTCGCCGTCGCCGTCGTCGACGTCGCCCTCGTCTCCGTCGCCGTGGTCACCTCGGCGCCCTCGCCGAGACCGAGGAAGACGGACGGCGGAGAGACGGAGAGCGGCGCGGTGAGAAAGAACGGACAGAGAGAGAGGCGGCCAGGGGACGGTTAGGTTATGTTGTATCTGTCTCGGCGGCACACGCGTCGGCCGGCGCCGCGGACCGGTCACGCCGAGCGCCGCACGCGCGCGCGCGCACGTCCTCTTCTCTCGCCGGTCACCGCGGGGGAGGACGAGCGCGACCGGGAAATGCGGACAGAGCGGAAAGAGCGAGAACCCGCCGGAGCAAGCGGTGCTGCCTATCGGATGGCACTGCGTTCAGCGCCGCGCCGGCAGCGCCGCGATGCAACCTCCCCTCGGCCGTCCTCGTCTTTCCTCGTCGCGTCTCGGCTCCGAGCCGCCGCTGCCGCCCCCCTCCCCGCCCCGCCGGCCGCGCGCCGCCTCGTCCGCTGGAGCCGAGCGCTCCGCCAATCAGCGCCGAGCTTTGCCGAGTCCCGAGCCCGC